ACAGCCCCTTGAAGATTTTCGACCGTATAACTCTTTTCTTTAGCCATTTTTTCAATCGAAGAAACTGATCACTCGGCCAAAATAAATAGTATTTCAAATCAGCTGGGCATGAAGGATGTAGACAAACCGAAGCGCACCTAGCGGCCGTCTTAGGAAACACATAGGTCCAACCATCATCATGCATAGGTCCAACCATGATCATATTTATCTATTCGAATTTCGTCAATTATTCCAACATTTTAGTGAAACCAATGGATAAATGGCGTACTAACGTGTTGTTTACACCTTAAAGCAGTATTTTACTGCATGAAAACAAAAATAAATGTAAAAAATATTCCTTTTTTGTATGTTTGAAAGTAAGGCATGATGACGAGCTACTGCGTGGAAAGTGAAGTGTTTTAAAAAGTAGAAGGGTCTGTGCCTAGGGGCACGAGCGGAAGCTTGACGTAGGACCGCTAGTGGACGGAATAAATGTGAAGAGCATTTAGTTCTTTCAATTGATCAAATATCTATTATCTCAACTCTTTCCGTTTTTGAATTGTTGGCGTACCAAATTTGTTTTTTTTTTTTCAAAGAGAAAGTTGATTAAGAGAATCAATCAAAATCACTTGCACCTCTGCTTCCAAGTTTGGTTACAAATCTGGAGAGCATTTTGTGTGGTCGTTGGGGGCTTGTGGTTCTGAATATGGACAAACAAGCACAGATAAATTCTATTCCAACTCTTTACTGATGTAAGCTTGATAGCCCTAAAAAGGGCCGTTTTATTGAAGAGGACATCCATGGAAACTTACGCTTGGCGTGTTTAGTGTAGGTGAGCATCACGGACCTCATTTTCCAGGAACACCTTCAGCACACCTCGTAGATCAGACCCGAGATACGTTTGACACCACCACGGCGAGCCAGACGACCAATGGCGGTTATCTCGAAGAACTTTGCGATGACGCTTGGCGCCTCCTTTGCCACGATCAGTCAATTGTTGCTTGTTAGGGGTGAAAGAGTGGACTAGCCACTACCTTTCTACTGCTGCTATTGCTGTTCACCACGCCGTCCGAAGCGAAAATGAGCGAATGCCATTGGGAGATTGTCGTAAAAGCTCGACGCAGATGTCGCCACTGCATGATGATGATAATGTTGACAGACTGCATATAAAATTCGTGAAAATAAGCATTAAATCATAATTTTCATCAAGCCTGCGTAAAATCCTTCCAATATAACATTCGAATTGAAGAAGAAAATGTTTTCGCGATCAGACTGATGTGCATCTTTGACTTTTCTAGATGAACTTTCATAAGATATATTCATTTCATTTCACAGCTCCATCAATGCTGCATCGTACATGTGATGTAAACAGAAGTAAATTGCTCAATTACTCAAAATAAAGATGATTTGTCATCTTGTTATCACTTTATAACCCATCGAGCACCATTTTGCAGTATGGTGCGTGTTGAGTAAATCAAGTTCCGTTGCGTTTTCTGTCGAAAATTGTGAGTATCAATATGTTTACCTAAAAAAGGCCAAAAAGATCATTTATTGAATATTGGCGTCCTATACAACCATTTCTCCATTATCACCAGCATGATACAATCTTTCCTAAGTAAATCAACTTAATTTCCACTTTCATCCTAGTGGAAAACGCACATATTCACCATTTTCCGAAAAATGCAGCTGTGCAGGAGGTAACCTCTACCTGTGGGTGCAAACTTGTTATGCATAATTTTCCATGAAAACATCTCCAATCCATACCGAAATAGTAACAGTTAGTTTGCAAACACGTTTTCTTACACGATTCAAGCAAAAGTTTCCACCGGAAATTATTAGTTTTTCTTTATGTACCGATTTGCCTTAAAAATCGTCTGTTTTCTTGGAGAATTTGGAAACTATCCTCCTTCTAGTAGTTCTCACTTCGAAATGTAGGTGGCGAAAGCTTGCAAAAGTTTCACTGCAAGACGCCAATACAGCAGCGCTCTTTTATATCTTTTCAGGTTAAAGCAGAATGATGTGCAACCAAGTGGTATAAAACATAAAGGCTACAAAGACTCCTCCCATTATGAGTAGTTTGCTATCAAGTAGCGACACTGGCTCTTTTTCTTTTACGTACACGGCGAATGAGAACGACCCAAATTTGAGTTTAGTTCACTTATAATCGCCAAAAGTGCAGGAACTCAGCGATGAGTAAATTTGTCTCATGGTTTCCTGTGGAAAACCTAAAAAATCTGCCAGGAAATAAGGAAATTGACGAAAATTTTATTCAGTCTCGGAGTAGTACCAATAGACTGAGTGAATCCAATCTTTACTTTTCTCAAATTCGGGAATTTTTCCCTGGAAAATCCTGGGAAAACATGAGGCAAATTTACTCATCGCTGAGTTCCTGCACTTTATTTCTTATTTCGGAGATAACTAAACTCAAATTTGGGTCGTTCTCATTCACCTTGAAAGATATCGGCGCCGGTGGTTAGCGTGATTACCTCACCCCAGTAGGCCTGGGTCAAATCTCAGTCGGCGCCACCGGCATGTTCTAAGGCATAACAACTCTGATCTTTACTTCCTTCGGGAAGTAAAGCCGTTGGTCCCCGGTTGAGCTGATGGGTCGATTGCTAGGGTCCAGGTGTGGGAGCTGCCTCCATGGCGTCGGTAGCATTGGAGCTCAGTACGGTCGATTCTCTTCATCGACACTCTCTTTCGTAAATAAGTCGGCTTCACAAAGGTTTCCTGCCGTCTTCGTCGAATTAGATGCTAGATAGTTGCTTCTTCCATCGAAAATATCCGGTCGTGGCGATTCAAAGTTGATCAAGGTTTGTACCACTGCTTCCAGTTTGATTACATGAGCATTTTGTGTGGTCGTTGGTTCTTAATATGGACAAACAGGCAGATGAATTATATTCCTACTCTTTAATTTAATAAGCTTGGTGGCCCTGAAAAGAGCCGTTTTGTTGCCAAAGTTGGTGATGATTTAACCTCCGAAACTAAATAGAGTGCGTCTCTGTCACTTCAAAACGTAGATGACAGCCATGGCCGCTTACGCTTGGCGTGTTTAGTGTAGGTGACAGCATCACGGATTTCATTTTTCAGGAACACCTTCAGCACACCTCGTAAATCAGACCGGAGATACGTCAGACACCGCCACGGCGAGCCAGACGACGGATGGTGGTTATCTCGAAGAATTTGCGTTTGGTTCTGAATATGGCGATGAGTGTGCAAAATATTACGCAATTCCATCCTCCCTATTTGCACGCGCCCGAGGATCGGAGGCGAATGCCACTTCGACTTGTTTCGTCTACTTACTACTCTCTGACGACTGTGCTGGGGAAGCAGCATATGCTTGTAGGTAATCGGTGGATTTGTTAGTTAATTCGACGCTTTTGGACAATGCTGGACATTTACCAGTTTTTCAATAGTTTCTTGTTGAAAATCAACATTCGAAAGCATTATGCGTAGCCGTATTTCTGATTGATTGGTGATAAAATTATTGAAATTGGACCAGGGGCAGCTGAGTTATCAACGTTCAAAATCTTTCTTAATTTGTTACATGTTTCATTTTCGGTTTTCACAAAGTGTACCCCCATATAGAAATCAAAGACGTAGTCCTATGTCAAAACACATTGAAACTCAATTGTTTTTAAATGTTTTCAATAAAACATTCATGCAAATTGAAGAAAAAGAGTTTTTTATGATAGTAAAGTGATCTTTGATAGTAAAAAATTAGCGAAGATTGACTAAACTAGCAATTGAAAAAATAGGTGCAACCATCATCAGTTTTTGGATAGGTCCAACCAGAATCAATTACCCTATTTCGTCAGCGAATTAAACTTTTTTTGTTTTAAATTTGTTAACTTGTGTGCTGAAATTTAATTTCTAGTATTCATAAAGTTATCATATCGTGTTTCGCCTGTGTTGAGGCGTCCAGGTCGGTATTCCAGTATTGGAAATTCTAAATACAAGACAAGATTAACAATGACAGATGTATTCAAACCGACTCGAGCAGGTGGCAGAAGAGAGCGAGAGAACAAACTACAAGCAACTAATTTTGGTGAGATTGTTTCAAATTTGTTAATTTGTAGTCAACCAACTTCTGCTTAAACTAAATACGCGCCAGGATTAAAGGTGTACACTTTTAATATTGGAAGTGTGAATGCACTCCAAGTATCCATTTGCTATGAAGATATCTCATGCGGGGCTTATTGTATGTGAAGACGACTTTATATTGTATAGTGTATGAGCAGTCATTCTTGAAATAGGTCGTTGGATTTACAATAGAGCTGTCACCTTCCCGCTCCAGGGCTAAAAATGTTTACACCTAACAACTGCATTAACAAATAGGTGCAGACAGGTTTCTTCCATAAATGCACTGGCGGCCAGTGGGAGATGGATTGCAAAAACACATACACACATTTGCTGACAATATTCATTTGCTTTCCTAATAACAATAATTATAAGAAAGAGCTTAACGACGCGTTCGGGGTATCATCCAAACCTTTCGTGGGATAGTTCTACCACCCACAAACCGACATGAATGACCATAGCAAAAACAATAAAATTTCTGACCAAAGCACACCACTGACATCTGGCTCCGTGTTCGCGGGAAATATTTAGCTAAGCCATGAACCCGCATACAAAGTTTATGAATTGGTTCGTGTATGATCTATTCTGGACAAATTATTTTTATCTAGATCAAAAAATCCTATGGTTTTGACAGTTCAGATCACTGCACATTTGAATCGGCCGTTTACGATTTTCGGGCATAAGTTAGAATTAAGTGTCATGTCGGTTTGTCGGTGGTTCTACCATCCTGGATGCCGTTCGTTTATGGTATTTGTTTACTAAGGTTAATATCTGTTGTTCCTGATCATGTATATATCCTCGATCGAACCATTGATTCCATTGAACTCGGTGGAATCAGAAGAGTTAGGAAATGTAAATAAATCGAAGGGAAACGGTCCCAAATAAGTTGTAGATGCTTTAATGTGTACTTTTAGTAACAAGTTTTTTCATTCTTCTCTCAGGGGGGCGTCTACCTAGTAAACTTCCTAAACGTGTACGGTCCGGGCCTGGCGATCCTATTTGTCGTGTTCGTCGAAGCAGCTGGTGTGTTCTGGTTCTACGGCGTGGACAACTTCTCTGCCGACATTGAGCAGATGTTGGGAAAAAAGCCGTCGCTCTTCTGGCGCATCTGTTGGAAATACATCAGTCCAACGTTTCTGTTCGTAAGTTACTGGGAGTTAACGTTGTAAAATGAATAAGAATGATTGCATGGTTGTTATTTTTTCAGTGCATCTTGATATTCTCGCTTTTGGGTTACGAAGCCATGCTGGAGGGAGAGTACAAATATCCCGAATGGAGCATAGCGGCCGGTTGGGTTCTGACGCTGTCGTCGGTGCTGTGTATTCCGCTGTACGTTATCTACAAGTTCATGATTAGTGACGGTGGGTGTAGAAGTGTAAGTATTTCATTCATCTAATTGGACGCGGGAACAATCATTGATTGCTGACGAAAATTTTGTTTATAGCGCCTGCGGCAGACATTCAAACCCGAACCGCTGATACCGACGGCTGTGCCCGGACAGATCTACTCCGGCACTGCCGTCTGACATGATTGCTCGAGCGATCGCGACGTAGACCGTCGTCAACCGAGTTACTGTTGCTGCAGCGGTGGCTACTGCTGCTATCATTGCTTTAATCGTATCGATTCACCAACGAACTGTAGCTGTTCCCCAAACTACAACAACTACTACAATACCGCTAATCTCTGCATTGGTACTAGCGAGCATAATCATAGCATACGTCGTTCACCTAGTGGTACTGATAATGATAACTATGAAGATAAGCTTAGAGTTGGTCAAATGTTACATGTCGATGGTGCAAGCTACTGCAAGAAGCCTAGTGATATTGATAGTACTTACTATTCTAGCTACAACTACGGTGGTAATGGTAACTATAATGGATTGTATTCAGAGTTCAGGACGAAAAAGCTATCGTTTCCTCTGGCCACGGAGTGGCTCGTTTGATTCTATTTGCCAAAGATCTTATCTGTTTGTTCAAGGACTTCCTATTTTCTAGAATCCAATGCCAACTATGTCTCGTCGTTATAAGTTTTGATCAGAATTTATCGATATAAGTTGTACCAAACTGCCACAAACAGCCATATGTGGCAGACTGGTCGGACTATTCCTCAGATTCAATACCTCGCTCGCCCTAAGTTCATAATTATACGCATTTGTTACGCTGACAAAAGGAGAGAATCTGTTAGATGATGCAACGAGTTGATATTTATTGCTAGGATTTATTGTCTAGGAACCATGTTATCTGTTTGGGATTAGGAAAGCCATCTGGGTTTTTGTTGACAGAAGATGATGGGGCCATTACTGATCCAATTGATTGTTTAGTCGATTAAGCTTTTATAGAGTTAAGCTAGAGAGTATTCTATATTTAGCCAAACAGGTAGTCTAGCCTAGCTGAGTCATTAGTGTTTGTAAGATGTGCTTTAGAAAAAATAAATAAATCAATCAAATGATTGTAGTCGTTAGGAAACCTGTACAACGCATTCGGTAAGTTTTGTTTACTGAACCTGAGAATTGTCAAAGGAAGAATCTGAGCGATGGAGTTGAACCGGTACCTGTGAAATTTGACTCTGCCAGGAAGTGTTAAAATTGCAAGCAGCCATTTGAAGTTTGAACACTGAATTGCGTGATGATCGGAATCCGATTCTTCTGTAATGATTTTTGTTATTAGGAATTTTCAGACAATAAAAGACTTTGATTTTATTAGCTACCTTTACACACGTTGTTTTAATTTTGTCTATCCGAATATGTACTACAATGTTTTGCTATTGCATACCTATTTGTAGATTAAGTCACGAATGACCCAAGAGCGTTAAAGTGACTATAATAATAATAATAATAATAATAATATTTGTAGATCGCTGAGCCTCTCAGAAGCTCTCCAAGCTTCTTTGATTCTTATTTTAAAGAAGATTGGCATCCTTAATTTTAGGGACGATCAGCGTATTTTAGAGAATTTGAGTGCAATTTTGAAAAGTGCATGAAACTTTATAGTAGTATAGGGATAGCCTCAGGGAACCTCAGAGAAGCATACGAGAGCTTCATAAACACTATTAGTGGAGATTTCCCCGTAACGTGGGTAGATCACCTGTTCGTGGTACGTTATGGGATGTAAGATCTACCACATCGAACTTTGGCCCTAAGCTCTTCCTGTTGACGGTTATGAACCTTGGAAATACGAAAAGGTTCGGTCCAGGGTTTCGATGTTTGGTAAAATATCAGTATCATCGCTTCTTTTTCTCACTGAGCAGACCTATTTTGAAGAGATCTCAGAATTTTCCAAACATACGGATCATCAGAATCGAATGAGACCTATTTTGATTGCTTCTCATCAGTCTTTGGAGAGGTCCCAGAACTCTTCAAATGATACGGAACATCTCAATTGAAATAGGATCCTCATGAAAACTATTTTAATTGATGAGAGGGCACGTCTTTGGGAAAGTCTCAGGACGCTTCGAATGACGCAGAACGCTTCGAAATAGGAAATTTTTTCTTCTAGAGATTCAAAAAATAAATTAAGAAGAAAAGCCTTAGAGCAGTTGGAGAACGTCATAAATGGAGACTTATAGACACAGCAACTGTGTAAGATGAAGATGATCTAAGTTAGGCAGACAGATGAAGGTTGAACAGAAAATATTTACTTTTGTTAAACATTGGCTGGGATGCATAAGACAAACATCTATCGGTTTTTTAAACGACTATACATACTCAAAAGACCCTCAAGAAATTATATCCAGTATTTTCTTGAGTATTGTACACTATGCCAGGGGGTAGGGGGATATAACTGAGCATCATTTTAATCCTTCATGTTGATGGAATATCGAAGCAACCTGTTATTTTTTTCATTGAATCAGAATATGACTCTGTACCAAAACGTCAAATCCCATCATAGGACCTATGTGGGTTGCCTTATGAAATCTATGAATCTATGAATAAAATAATTAATTCAAATCCAATAATTGAAAAGGCCTCAACTCCATTTTGGAAATAAACCTTGCAAGGCCATTTTCTCGCAACCCGAAACACATTCGCAAACCGAAAACACAAGAGGAGAAACTGTTCATTTTGTTGGTTTGCGTTGGCGGACTTCGGTTTGCGACAAAATAGCCTTACAAGGTTTGTTTATAAAATGAAGGTGGGGTCTTTTCAATTGTTGGTCTTGAATTTTCGTTTCGTGTACCAGAATATAAATCATATTCACCCCTCGGAATGACACTAGACCATTAGTAAATTTAAGGTAGTGTTCTAGGAGGCTTTGATTTTCAACAAAATATAAATTGTGACGTCTGTTTATCTTTTTGAGAATTCTGATCTACGATTTGAAGTATCCTAATCAAACGATTCAAGTATACTACTTTACAATGTCAGGTATTTATGACTGGATTTCTGATAACATTTCAAGAATTATAAAGCGTATTACTTTAACGAATCAGCTTGGCTCGAAGAACCATTTGATGGAAAAGTGGACGGACGGGGTAAGTCATAGTGATGTGATCTTTCCGCTTCAATTTGGGTTATCTATAATCCAATGGGGGAACTGCGGCCACATCGCTCAAGACAGACTCTAGCAGTATTACAAGCAGACGATCTTACATTAGTACACAAACTAAATTGTATGTAGTGTACGTTCAATTGTTTCGATCCTTTCGATCGTCTCACATTACGGTAGGTTGTGATAGTTCTGTTGATGTTCAGCTGGACAACGGTAAGTGATATTCAATGACGTTCAGATGGCGGTCACTACAAATTCAAACAGATGCTTAAGAAAAGGATAGGTAAGTCAATACTATTTATTCTTTATCCCACTCTATGTTTGCAAGCTCCTTGTGCAATCTATTGGTAAAGAGACTACCCTAAACTTTATCTTATCTTTATTTATTGGTCCTATTCGGTAGTTTCTTCAGTAATTTTCAAGTTTTTAATAATTTCAACATATAGAACATTACATTCTTAGACCGTTCGCAAACTACCCGATAGTTCTAAAATTTGAAACTGTCGAAAATGAAACTGCAACACGATCAGATCAGCGCAACGCACATTTTTGAACGGTGTTTGGTATTCATCCCTACATCCCATATGGGTGCGTGTGTAAACTTTGTTTGCTTCGGTGATTCGTAATCCAGTATCAGGTAACGAGTTCCAACCACGAGAGGAGTTCCCAGGCAATTCTGCTGTCGAAACATATAAAGAAAATATAATTATTTATGGAGATCGCTGATGACCTGATGGTCTTTGAAACAATTTCTGAGCAATCTGGTATCGTGGTATCTGAGAGACGTGATTTAAATTGTTAGGCATTTGAAGATCTTAATAATTATAATAAATCAACCAGAAGACATGAGAAGATCCTGAGAAAGTTTTGGTATCATGAGAGAATACCTAAGAGAAGTGATTTGAATTGTTGGAGGGTTTGAGATCTTCATCAGAATAGTACCTGATCAATCTGGAACCTTGGAAAAGAATCCAGAAGACTTTATAGACATCTTTAAACACATGGAAAATTTCTGATTTACCTGGGACTATATTTGAGAGTTGTGATTTAGATTGATGGGTAGATTGATATTTTCAGAATGATACCTGATCAACGTGAAGTCTTGAAAAAATATCTAAAGGACTTCATGGAGATCTTAGAACACATGAAGATCATTGGAATAATTTCTGAGCAGCCTTGTATCATAAGAGAGAACATCTTCTTAATTTAAAAGACGCAAGCGCTTTCATGAAGTTCTGTGTAGATCCATGGATTTCCATGAAGTTCTATATATACTATGAAATTTTCAGTACTACTATGATGTTATCCGATCCTCTTGAAATACCTCTTACTTCTTTGGTATTATCTGAACTTCAATGAAACTCCCTGAAACTTTTTTTTTAAATGCAAATTCCACAAAGTTTACTGTCCTCTATGAAGATCTCCGATTGTTTTGTGAAGCTCTTCGCATTTTTATGAAATTCTCCGAACTTCTATGAAATATCATTAAACTTCTCAGATTTCCCAAATTTCTATTGAATTCTCTCAATTACTATGAAGTTCTCTGAAACTTTACGAGAAACATCAACAAATACATCCAGGGAAAATTGAAACAGAGGTCCATTCGTGTTTCAAACCCGCTCATAAATAAAATCTGGAGCAAAATAGTGCTCGAATAATAAAACTGCAACTCAGCATTGCTAGGGGTGCGTATCTGTTCTAGATTCAAATTTAAAAAGTCGAGGGGTGCGACACATCTAAATCTCGATTTTAAATGGTCGAAAAATCTCACACTAGCAAATCAATCTACGAAAAATCTTTTTCATCTCTTGCATCTAAACCCATCTACTCGCATCGCTTTCCACCTTTTTGCAGGAAATCTTCAAAATCATAATCAATCGTGTTTCTATCTATTAAGCGCGACTGCATCTCACAACAGCAAAGCAAAAAAAAATCCTGCATCTTAGATAGAGTCGCCCCACTCGGAAAAAGTCCATATAAAATACAAAAGTATTGCGAACAGCCCTATAACAACCGGTTTAAATCGAAAGGTATTGATCCACTTGCCGTTCTTCCCGTTTTCCAGTTGGGATACAGAAATAGAATCCTGAGTGCCTGTGTGAAGGGGCCATATATAAATGACGCAGTGTTTTTGACCAATTTCTGAAGTGCTTCTCTTCGTATTACTTGTCGTATTATTACTTGTATTTCAATAGTTTTATTAGGTATATGCAGGCTACTATGCATATGTAATGGCTGGTCACAACTTTTGCAAACAATAAATGCATCGTTAATCATTAGCCATGGTTCAGGTCTAAGACTGATTCTTCAAGAATGAACCGTCTTCCAATGATGAAAACGTGTTTTTTTTCAAAACAAATGAGTTGTATTTTTTCTACTATCAACAGTCAATGAAGAAGAACAAATTTACAACCTCCGATTGCTAAAATTATGCTTTATTGCTACACTGATACACTGATAAGCTGGATTGAAACACATCCATAATTATTAAACCGAAAACTAGAATCAATTCCTGATCGATTGAAAGTTGTTTCGTCTAAACAGGTCAAGAGTTGACGAAATGGGAGCAATATCTAATTTTTTAGACGGAATTTTACTGCCGTTATACGCATAAGAGTCCCACGGTGCATAAGGATTGCATAGAACATGGGACAGTTATGCGTAAAACGGCAGTTTAAGAGCGCATGGATTAAAATCAGCACGAGTCGTGATGAAACTTTCAACACTGCATGTGGAACTATGGGCACTGCTATTAAATAGATTATTACAGGACCAGACTTTATTAGTAATATAGGTCGCTTCGTGTTCGTGGTTATTCTGCGGTCACTATTTAGCCGCTTTTTCAACTTGTCAGGTTACTAAAATCACTATTTTCTTGATCATCAACCACTAACAGTTAGTGCCATTAGTGTGCATTGGCCCCATAGTCCATTTAACGAAATGACAGGAGCCGATTTGCCTGACACCATTTGATGATATTGAAGTTGCATCTCACAGTTGTTAAGAAACAGCCTCCTGTTCATTCATGAATTGAAATATCAGCTGATGAGAAACGTGTCGTAAAATGCTCTATTAGAAAGTCACTTCATTTGACTTGCATATAGAGTTTTGTTCTTCTTTGAACCCGTTGGAATTGCAATGTTAAGTAAATTTACAGCTTTCCCCCGAAGCACGCGTTGCCCACTGAATTGTACCCACCGCTTTTCAATCATTAGCTCTGATTTTCTGCGAGTGACTATTGTTCATCATGGAGACTACTCACATGCAAAAATGGTTGCCGTTCTTCGGGTGATAGCTGTATTAGGATTGGGCGATCTTGGATCGATCTTTGGAAGATCGATATTTTTCAACCCGATTTACGATTTTTTGGATCGATTCTTTGTCCACGAAAAGATCGAAAAAATCGGTCTCTTCTTTCGATCTTTTCCATCTTAATAAAAAAATTATTGACATTGAAAAAACGATTTACTCTCACCCCAGACTGCGTGGTAAATTTAACGAACATCGTTCCCTACAATGACGTCACTATTTGCGTTTCCGATATTAACGAATACAGCAACATTTGAAGGTTTTTCCTATCTCCCTCCTTCTTTGCTCATTACTTCTTACCGCCACGACAACATTTAATTGAATATTATAAAGGAAAGAATTTCTTGGGGTACCAACGTAAACAAGCGGTAGTCCATTCTATATGTAAGATATGTATATGTATTGATGGTCCGATAGTGAGAATAACAATAACAAACAATTGGCTAAAGCGAAAGTGAGGATAGCAAACTAAGCACTTGAAAATGGGATTACGCAAGTGTGTGAGTTATAAACGTAAAGAAAGATCAATTAAAATAAAAACCATAAGATCGATCTACCAAATATCGATTCTTTGGTACCAATTTAATAAGTGGATCGATTCTAGAGCCAAATATAAGATCGATCCGTCAATATCGATCTTTCTCTGAAGATCGCCCAATCCTAAGCTGTATGTTTGTTTTGATAACTTGTCCACAAGAAAATCTCCTGCGGACTGAATTTTCTATTAAACTTGTTAAAAGACGCACAGTCGCAGCTCTACTTTCTAGATCCTTGTTGAGTACCGACACCAAACCGGCTTCAATCCAGATCCAGAAAGGTTGACTGCGACGGATTTAAGCATTACCAATTACACTTTGGAATCAGAATTTTGAATACTTACCGTCGCAATGCGTTAGCAATGCACTCACCTATTTCTCCTCGGATATCAGAAAAGCTTCCAACATAGATAAAGCTATCCATCCACCGCTAGGTGACTCCACTGCCTGCAAAATAGAAAAAGCTTTGCCTTCAATCCACTTCAACACTTTCAAACATCCGAGTAAAAAAAATCAGACCCGCCAGGCGCCAACACATGAAAACCGGCTCTTGGGCTTATCGTTTGTACACTTGTTTGTTTATCCTATACTAACCAGCATCGTAGGCACCCTCTCTTCACGACGCCTGAGGACGGCGCACTCGTGTTAGTGTTACCACCGTATCTTTCGGAGTCGGTCTCTTCGATGGATGACCATCGCTCTGCGTTCCTCTCCAGCGCCGTTTCAGCAGCAGCAGCAGGCCAGCAGCAGCAACTCTCTCGTTGGTTTTATTCACTACACCCACCGAATGTTGATGTCAGTTGCAATCGGGTTCTCTGCACGGTCGCCAGCGTTCGAGCTTCAGTCCGCCGCCAGTTCAGGACAGTTCACAGTAGAGGAACAGTGCGTCGCGACGGACACGGATCTAGGATCTTTCCTCAACCACCCGCACAAATTGTTCTTCCGCCGAAAAAGCAACAAAACTGATTGTGTGACTGTGGCGGTTGTTATGACGTTTCGAGATTCGTGTTAGAACCGTACCGTCGCCTGCTTGATTTTGGTGGGTTTGGTCATTAACTTGGATTCGCAAGTGATAGGAATTCGAAGACGGATCGAAGAAGAAATTAAACGGTGATTTCCATTCCATTCGAGCAATGGAGTATGTGAATTAAACACACAAAAAAAAAACAAGTGTGTTAATGCAGGAAATGACAGAAAAGTGGCTGCTGTTTAGTAATGACATCACGTAGAGTGTTTTTGCTGTTTCTTTCTTCACCATACGCGCGCAGACATTCGTCTAAAAAACTATGTGTACAAAATCGAATATTGAACTTGAAATGGGGCACCCGAATCGAGGCTCTGAACTGAACGCAGCAGTGTTAGCTGCTATAGATCCCAATCTTCAAAGCTCTGACTTTTTCAGGTTCTTCTTTGTTTACTCAATATTGCTTCTCTTGACTTCTTTCGCCTTTTTTTCTGTCTGGTTGTGTCCAGATTCTTGGCTGACTTTGATTCACTGCCATGGACTTCTTGTGATGATGTTTGGTCAAACTCGCGAGGGCGAGTGTGTGAGTATGGCTGTATCTAAATGCTTCACGCAATTCAAGCTTCTCTTCGCATTTGATATTTTTATTGAAAAGCTACCTGAAGTGGTTGTTAATGACATTATCCGTTATCTTTTCATTTTCCGTACATAATTATCGAATAAAGTTTTGCCGTCGATGATTGCTTGCAATGCAACGGTCGTATTAATTTTGACATTTCTTTTCCCTATTGCTCATTTTTCCTCAAAAGGGTTATTGGACTTATTTCCACACTGCCTGCGAGCTGAGCTGTGTGAATATGTGGGGGTGGAGTTGTCCTTTTGTGCAACGAAAATAAACATTCACACGTAGTAGGCAATGGCTAACGATGATGTAGTGGTGAGAAAAAGACTCGTGCTCCTTTCGGTTTCACTCGTTTTCGTTGGTGTGCGTACATATGAATGATTTGAACGAGGGGAAATTCGGCAGTTCGTATCCAAGTTTGTAGCTACAGAAACACTTTTCTTCAATGAAAAATCTGCCTTGAATTAAGACGCAATCTTGATTTGGATACAGCCAGTGTGTTTAGCATCCGCAATGATGTAGCGTGCGTGTGAAGATAAGAAATGTTGAACCAGTTTTACCCAGTCTCGGAGAGTCTGGTTTCTTCCATCTGTGTGTATGTTTTGAGCGAATAGAGAAAAAAAAAATGTTCTAGGAGAAATTATATTGTTATCGATTTTTCTCCACCAGCAAACAAACTCGAATCCGAAGGTGTTTGCAGTAGTGTGCGTACGCATGAAGAACTAGAACGACTGTGCCAGTTTAGATTGAACTAGTGAATACATAGAACACTACAGAAAAGAAATAGAATAGCAACAACAGAAATATTAAAAATAAAATACCAGCACATATCGACAAGTGTAAAAGAATATCAAATACGAAATTACAGCCGCAGTGGTCGACAAATCATAAAAAAGTTGCGAAAGAAGAGCGTTGTCTGTGCATTCATATCTGTGTGTGACGTGCCCATCAGCCAGCAGAAAAGAGTAGGCGATGCACTTCTTCCCATCATCGTCTGGCCTGCTGTGAATAAATACATACGTGCAACGTGCTAAATGTCAACCGAGTAGGCCGTGACAACAGCGACAAGGGGGAAATCAGCAGTGGACGCAGTTTTACAAGGTAGGTTGGTACAGGAAGCGATTCGAAAGCTGATCTCGCGGACAGTGGGCTTGTGAATGCTAATTAATGGCGAAATGATTTCTTAATTTATGGCAGACGGCACTGACCATATACACTTCTGCACGCTGCCCAATAGGATGTAAACCGCTCGATGGGTTGGAACTGACAAAACTGAAAAATATGACGAGGGGAACTCGCGGAAAACGCATATATCACTGAATTTTGATGACTTTTAGTGTTTTGCCGAAAAGCCAGACGAGCAAGGGGATAGAGACCTCATAAATTATTAATGCTAAACTATCGACTTAAATCATTTCCAACGACTGACTAGTGGTGAGTGGATACACGCTTTGCTTTCTCATCCCCGTCGTATCGGAAGAGGGATATGCTTTTCCCCTGATGGGTCGAGAGATGAAACTTGTTTTATTTACTGGTTTTACCGTATCCAATCAGCCTGAATAGTAGCTAAACCGGAACGGGTCGGACTGATTGTGATACTTTTGCGAAGGAATCTGTATCTAGCGCTAGCCCATAAGTGGGATTACGGACACTTTAGTTTAGCTTCGCTTCTGCATACAAAGTAATGTTGAATCGAACAGACGTTTCACATTTCAAGGATGATTTTTCACAAAGACGTTTCTGCACAAGACAAGACGTATCTGCTTCTGTGAACCAGATAAGAGTTTCGACAAATAAGGTTCTTTAAGGGTATTGAGGTAAATGCATATTCGTAATCTTCATTAAAAATGGAACCCAAACCCAAAATTTCATCAATTTTGGCACACTGGAACTATTTTAAATAAGTACGATTACATTTGCAAAAATCACCTTATTAGCGCCCCTCGGTGTCACTTTGTATGGGAGCGAGCTGTCAGTTTGTCAGTTTAGTGTCAAACAGTGAAGTTATTATTTTGCTTTAAATCTTGATTTAAAAATCGAGATGAAAGTGTGTGGGTTCGAAAAAAATATCAATGTGCTCAGAAAACGAAGCTCGATATATATAAACCGATACTGATATATAAAAACCGATATATTTTTCAAAATTAAAGAACCCGATTGACGTTTGAATATCTATTTACAAACGCAGATACGTCCTTTTTGACAAATCATCTTTGATTGATTTAATCATAGATAATACTGGATTATGAATTTAGCATTTGCATTAGTTTCATGGAGTTGCTAAAATTTTCTAAATAATTCCTTAAAAACTGTTAGCATGATTTTGTTTTAAAATTTTCTCAACAATTTCCTTGGAATCATCCCGGAAAATCCACGAACTGAATCATTTTATCTGTCAAACTTTCATAGCGAATAAAAACAAATTTCGACTAGAATGGGGTACGTTCATCGATGTACTTGGGACCAATAGGGTAGTCCAGTGTGAGTCAATTTAAAATCGCTAGTTTCCACAGGTTGCTAGAGGGTTGCAGTCTTCGGTAAAATTTTAGAACGTAATATTTTATGAAAAGTTGCTGTCTGAGATAAATGTTGTTTTGTAAAATTTGTCTGAAATTCACATTTTTAATATTAAGTTTTATAAATTCGTTCAAATGAATACTTTTATTATTTTTCGCCGATCGATTCTGGGCAATTCAATCTTTTGCAGAACAATACTTTTATTTTTAGGGTTTACAAAAATTAATATCACATAAGATTGAATTAGGGCGTAACAGCTTTTGTAAACAATGATTTCTCTCGATGATTTCTCAGAAGCCATGGCTCTCCTTGGCAAATCGACATCACCATCGAGTAGAGGAAGACTTCTCCTACCCGATGGATATGTTGGTTTGTGTAGGCGTGCCTTGAATTCCGAGAAATCAACGAGAGAAGTCATTGTATACAAAGATTGTTACGCCCTAATTCCAGCTCTATCTAGAAATATCTTATAAAAATAATAAATATAATTTTAGGTATATTTGATACATTTGGATTAGAATCAAACAATATATTTTATTTAAACATTCACATTATTCTATTAAGCAGGGTCAAAATCAAACAAAAAAGTTTAAGCCGGAAAACGATTTTAAGGGAGCTTCCATAAAGGATGCTTCATATCTTCATAATGGTATGCTAATAAATTTGTGTTCTCAGAATCGTTTATGGAAATGATGAGTTCTACAATTTTGTACAACATTTAAATATTGAAAATCGTCATTCAAAAAGTATGAATTTTAAAGTTGCGTACAATTTTTGGACGACCAAGGGGCAAGTCATTCAGCACATTGTGCCGCAATTAGATTCGGTACAGCTTGGGCAGATCCATTGGCATACCTTCGGCCCAATCTCGTAGGCATTTGATGGGAGCACTTCTAATCACTGAAGTTGTTCACAAAATTACGTGCTGTTTGGAAAAATCAAATAAAAAAGTTTAAGCCGGAAAAATTATTTTAAGGGAGCTTCCATAAAGAATGCTTCATATCTCAATGAAAATGATATGCTAGTAAATTTGTGTTCTCAGAATCGTTTTTGGAAATGATGAGTTCTACAATTTTGTAAAACATTTACAAAACAGGGATTCCGTTAAGAGGTTCGACAAATTTAAAAGATTGATTTAAATATCGAAAATCGACATTCAAAAAGTATAAATTTTAGAGTGACGTACAATTTACGGACGACCAAGTGGTAAGTCACACAGCACGTTCTGTCGCAATTAGATACGTTACAGCATGGGCACATCTATCGTCACACCTTCGGCCCAATCTCGTAGGCATTCGATTGGAGCACTTCTGATCACTGAAGTTGTTCACAAAATTACGTACTGTTTGGCTGTATATTCAGGAACATCCCCTTATTAAATATACCAGAGGAACTCAGAATAGGAGTTCACTTTTCGGTTCACTTATAGATTTAAATCCGAAATGCCGCTAGACCGATTTATCCTTGAGATTTCAAACCAAATCCAAGAAGTCAGAAATACCGGGTTGCCGGGATGGGTATTTTACAAACAATCGCAGCTTGCTCTATGACCGGCACAATTGGCACCAGTGTTGGGAAAATATCAAAAAATCAAAAATCAGAACGGCCGAAACTCATTAATGATATTGAGATATCAATATCACGTAACACAAAATCAAAAGTGATTTTCACCACCACAGACAGAAGAAAATGATTTCACCCCTCAACCAATATCACTAACCTCTACTTCTCCTGTTTGGCACGTATTCGCTCTATTTTTTTTTTATATAATGCGTTTATTTTTCCAGGTTCATTTGCTATAGCTTTGCGGAGCCAATATTCATTGATTAGATTACAAAATTACTTAAAACTAACGTTAGTAAAGCGGGGGCCGATTACTCGCGGCTATCTCGAGGTTAGGGGTGACAAATTGTGACAAATAGATGGCAGGGTAGGGATTGTGAACACAAGGTTTGGAGAGCAATGTGCTCTTGATCTCGAACTAAGCGACATATTCGCTCTATCATCTACTTCAAAATATCAATCTCACCACCGATCGGCGTTTCCAATCTTTTTAGAGCCTCTCTGCTACCTATAGAGACTACCAACATTCTGAGGCTCCTAAAGCATTGACGCGAGACTAGCGCCGCAATTTATTTATTTATTGTGTTGAGTCCTATAATTAGCCTACCCGACACCAACCTGACTTCTACGAAACCCCAACCCGATGTTGGCCCAACATTGACTCGACATAAACAAATAATTGACCCGAAATCGACCCGACATTTGGTCGACATCGACCATAAATTGACCTTACATTGATCCGACATCGGACCGACATGTCTGTTCGGGATAATTTTTCTGGGTTTCTTCCATACTCCTCTGCCGTACATGCTTTTTCATAACTACCCAAATTTGGGTAGAATCCACATGAATCCAATCGACGTTGTTTACTTGCCAACTTGTCACTCCCAACATAGTTTACCTATTTTTGGGTAAAAGCCTTCGCGAGAAGGCTGTACTATTTGGAAGCTTGGTTGGAGTATCTTGCAATGAAACTCAATTACGCAGCGGATAGCAAGAAATGAGAGAGGTTGATATTGAGAAAAATAAAATCACACTTGAGAGAGCTCGGAAATCGCCTCTCACAAATATCAAGGGTGCTTACTAGACTGATGCAAAATTTGACTTTTTCGCTCCACAGTGCTTAAATGATTTCAAATCGGGTCCTGATTAGCCTCCCAAAGTAACAACTCATTTGGTTAGAAACAGATTTCGCACAAGCCATTTGAAGTTAACATGTAAATTACTATGGAAAATCGCATTTTTTTGTTCATTGCCTTCTTGTCTTTTTCCATATTGAGCTGCAAAATAGTTCGATAGCCATTCTTATAGACATTTTTCTCAGCTACAACTTTACTGAAGATCGTTTCTATGTAAAACGAGACAGAAAAAAGTTATTAATTATTTAAGAGATTGGTTAACTTATGACATGATCAAGCAGCTGCTCTGTAGGCAACACTGTATTTTGCAGTGTGACATAGTAGCCATGATTTTTGTGTCCTATTGAACACCCCAGAAACACCAATGTTGCCTGCTGAGCAGTTGGTTGAGCATGATCATAAGACATCAGCGCATTGAACCATTGATAACTTTCGATCCTTTCATTTAATCAAAAAGTGGTCTCCAGCAAAGTTGTAGCTGGGAAAATTTCCTACAATTACAGTTGAAAACTTTTGAAGCAGATTGATATGGTGAATTATTAGATAGACATGAACAAAAATCTTGGTTTTACCATAGTAATTTCCATACAAACTTCAAATGGTTTGTGCCATCTCAGTTTTTCACCAAATGGGTTCAAATTTTGAGAGGTTAGTCAGGATCCGATTTGGAATCGTTTAAGTATTGTGGAGCAAAAATTTCAAATTTTGCATCACTCTAGTGCTTACTCTTTGATATTCCAGTGTGATATTGGAACAGAATATAAATGATAATTTTTCGCCGCGATGATACGTGATATTTGATTTTTTGATCTTGATTTTGCCAACACTGATTGGCACACTGGAAAAAAAGATGACCCAAGATGGGTGTGCTGAGTGACCTAC